GTTTCGGCGAGGTCCCACTCGCCATCCTCAGGCTGGTGCTTTCGGCTTCGTGCCAGTGCAAGCAGTGTGTGATCGGAGCTGTCGTCTCTCTATAAATACTGGTGGTGGGGGCTGGTGTGCTGGCCTGGTTGGCTGCGCGGCTGCCTCTTGATTGGTTGATGGAGTTGATGTTGGTATAATGGGCTGTGTGATGGCCTTGTGAGTTTTGGAGATATCCTGGATCTTGTGCTGTAATCTCCTGGGTCGTTTGTTTTGTACTGATCTTTTTTCCATTAGCCTTCTGTGTAGTAACGGCTTGGGTAGTGGGTTGTGTGATGACCTTGTGAGACTTATTGCTGTGGTATCCTTGGTCTTGTGCTGTGATATCCTGGGTCATCTGCTGTGTTGCAACTTCTTGAGTTCTTGTGGTGTAATTTCCTGAGTTTTCTGATGTGATTATCAGAAAATGAAAAGCAAGGGTGAGTAAAACTTTGGAGAGGATAAGAAAGCATTAGATTTCAAGAAGAGCCAAAATAATCAGGGGGGGGGAAAAGTCCAAATCACTCAGGAGGAAGACTGGATTGAAATAAAAAATAAACATATACTTGAATAATTGGTCTATATATGAACTGGATGTTTTATGCCAGGTAATTATATAGATATCTCTGAATCTTAATATGGCACCTTTAAAAACAAAGCTTCCATGCTTCTGTTAAAAGCAACATTTACTGTGTCGTGTCCATCGCAGGGAAAGGAGACTCGGGAGCCAGTGACTTAGTTCAGCTTTTTATTAAGTCCCGAGATCGGCTCGGGCTCTAGTAGAAAAACGGCAGCTTTTATTCCCTGGCCGCGGCGGCCGCGGCCAATGGCACTGCTTCGAATCTCCTGCGATTAGTTTCCACCAATCGTGGGGATTCACGGCGGGCCAATCAGTGCGGCTCGCTTGGCCAATCAGGTCGCTGTGCGCTCTGGCCAATCACGGCGCGGTGTTTGCAAGTATGTTAATGGATCGTACAGAACACCCCTCCCCTCTTGGTATGGTCCTACGTAACGTAGTCCCGTAAGTAGGCGGGGCTCCGTACTTGCCTACTTGACCTGCGCAGGTTAGTTGATGATTGGCCTTCGGCCAGTTCGGTCGGGTTCTGTGTTGCTCTCTGCCTCGTTGATGGAACCACCTGGAAGGGTGAGCCGGGCCTTTCGTCGCAGTTCCCTCCCAGTCTACCCGGGCTGGTCGAGCTGCTGGTGTTGCCGCTCCCGTCTGGTCTTTCTGGGCTGGTTGAGCTGGCCTGGCTGTTTCTCCCTGGTGAGGCTTCGAGCTGGGTGTCTGTTTCTGTCTCGGTTGGTGAGTATTCCGGATTTCTTTCTGGTTGAGGTCGATTCCCGGGGCCTCCCCTCCCCTCTTGGTTTGTGCTGGGGGGGGTTCCCTTCTCCTTCTGGGTGTATGTTTGTGTTTGTTTGCGTGTTGGTTGTGTTTCCTGTGGTTGTTCTCGATCTTATTTGATCGATGTGTCGTTTCCATGCTCGTCTGTCGGTTGTTTGTAGCCGGTAAGAACGGGGACCTGTTGCCTGGGTTATCGTCGCCAGTATCCAGAGGGGGTCCCCTCTCAGGTTTTTTGCGTATACCGTGTCTCCTGGTGAGAATGTTCGGTACCTGCTTGATGAGTTGGTGGGTTTTTCGGGGTTGTATGTGGGGTGTAGCCTATCCAGGAGGGACCTTAGTTTCCTCCCCATTAGGAGTTCTGCGGGGCTTTTGTTGGTCGTTGTATTTGGGGTTATGTGTTGGATAAAAAGTGGTTTATTTATTTTTTCCTGCATGTCCCCAGTCTCGATTTTTTGAATTGTTTTCTTTGTGAATTGGACCATTCGTTCCGCCCTACCGTTCGCCGCCGGATGAGCCAGCGCTGTCAGGGCGTGCAGTATTCCCC